CTGCTTGCCTCTCTATATGAGTCCGGGTGTGCATGTTGTGCGTGTGTGTGTGTGTGTGTGTACGCATCATTTAGTTCGCAGCAGCTGTGGGCGCTTTGGCAGTGCCAGGGGCTGGCTGGGGCGGGGCGGCTTACGTTGTTGCGCCAGCAGCATTAGAAACTTTACTCATTACGCCTGGGCCCAGCCTCAGTCGCAAGACCGCAGTAAAGCGCCGCCAAAGAAGCCAGCAAAATTGAAAACAAAACAACAAAAAAATGTAGAATTAAAACGAAAACGCAAAACGTTAAAAGTGAAAAACTATGCTGAGTCACAGACCAAGAATGGCTACCGGAATTGAGAGGGCGAGGAGGGGAGGGAGCAATGGTAACCTAGCTGGCAGCCAGCAACAAAAAGTGAGCGAAAACCGCTGAAAGCCAGCAGCAGCAGCAGCAACAACAACAACAACAACAGCAAGAACAATGGCAAAAGGCAGCAGCAGCAGTAGCTACTGAAATCCGCCTAAGTTGTGGGTAATGCTGGCGTAAAACAAAAGCTTATCCTGTTACTGCCTGCTGGGCTGCTGCAGACGTAGGTGATGGCGGGAATGCTGGCCACGGAAATACGTTGCCATTGCCACAGCATGTGGCAAACACACACACACACACACACACACACACACACACACACACAAACACACACCCGCACTGGGAGCAAAGCCAAGAAAAGACACACAAATGCATCGTTGAGTAACAAGCAGATAGACTCTTAATATACACTGCCTGTGCACAACAAATAATTTCTTACTAATTTTTCAAAATAATTAGTTAAATAAGGAATAAGTAATATACAAACATAACTTTGATTGTGTCTTGTCGAAAAAGATATAAAACCTGACCTAATAAGCATATTTTTATTAACTAAAAGTAAAGCTAATTTTTATGTGTGTGCAATTTAGAAATTAGCATGTTTCCAAAACGCGGCACTCAATATAATTTTCAACACTCCGAATCATGCAAAGTACTCTTTTAAATACAAAAATATCAGACCAATAAAAACAAGTAGTCAAATAATAAGCACATCACATATGAAAAGAGCCAGAACCGCTTTATACCAGATCTGGCGCAAAAATACCAAATTGGCAGCACTTTTCCTAGCTTCAAAATGCGAGCTTAGCAGATCAAATGTAAAAATGTCTGATTGGCAACACTGATAGCTGCTCATATAGTTTTTACGTGGCAGCACTTTTGCTAGTCTGCAAGCCAAATTGCCTAAGACACAAAGAAATTGGCAGCACTGATTTTCGTTTTTGTTGAACTTTCTGTAATATGGCAGCACTTTTGCAAGCGTTAAATGCCTGCATGCCGCATTAGAGTGGGCAGCACTGTTTTTCAAATCACATTGCGCGAATTCAACACGCGCCCTTCTTAAACTATTTTATACTATTAAAATATAGCTTTATGTAACACTTGACAAGCTGCATGACAAATTTAAGGGTGCTGTCTTAAACAATTTGTGAGAGTATTTACAAACGCGCCGGCATGCCAGAAAAAGCGCAGCCACAAAATGGCAGGGACAGAAAGGCACAGTGAAAGCCAGGGCAAAATATGTATGTAGTTGGCTGGCAGTGGTTGCCATTTAGTCGCTGTAGTGCGATAGTTGATAGTGGTAAGCACTGAGCCAGTGCCTGGTGGTTGGCGGTGCAACAGGGTGTATTATGGTCGTTAAGTTATTACCTACCACCACGCCGACAATGGCAAAGTTTACACAGCGAAAGTTTCCAAAGGGAAATTCCTTTCACGGCGACGCCAACGCCATGGAGCAATGTGAGGCATGAATTATTGTTAATGCCGCCTGTTGTTGTAGCCTGGCGCGGATTTTCCTTTCTGCAACAACAACAAAAAGAGTGTGTGGCATAATTCTGGTCGTTGCCAAGTCAGCGACTGCCGCCGGCCACAACCAGACGAGGAACAGAAAAACTAAACTAAAAACTAGAAAAAAAAAAAACAAATAAAAGTAAAAAGATAAGTTCACTTCTGACTTTTTATTAGACAACGACGTTTTAAGCAACCTCTGACGCTTGGAGAAATTAATTGCAATTAAAGTGGGGGAAAATGTGAAAAGTCGAGCTATTTTTTAATATTAATTATTAAAGAGTAGCGATAAAACTTTTCAGTTTATACTCAATCTTTATCTTGAGCAAAAGCTAATTTTGTTTTTTGAGTTTTTATTCCATACCTTTCTCTGTCTCTGCAGGAATAATGTGGATCTGGCGCCGGGTGATCGTTATGTGCGCATCGCCTTCGCCGAGGCAGCCAAGGAAATCGACCTGGCCATCAATAATACCCTGGACATGCTCTTCTCCAATCGCTCGACTCGTGCCCCACCCAACTACGGCGAGCTGTTGCGCGTCTTCCGCTTTCCGACGGTCCAGGCCAGGCAGTTGGCGCGTGCCGCGGAGATCTACGAGCGCACGCTGGTCAACATCCGGAAGCATGTGCAGCGCGGCGATAATCTGACCATGGAGAGCGAACAGTACGAGTTCAGGGATCTGCTCTCGCGCGAGCATTTGCATCTGGTGGCGGAGCTATCCGGCTGCATGGAGCACCGAGAGATGCCCAACTGCACGGATATGTGCTTCCATTCGCGGTATCGCAGCATTGAGGGCACCTGCAACAATCTGATGCATCCCACGTGGGGCGCTTCGCTGACCGCCTTTAGGCGACTGGCGCCACCCATCTATGAGAACGGCTTCAGCATGCCCGTGGGCTGGACCAAGGGGCTGATGTATGCGGGTCATCCCAAGCCGAGTGCACGTCTGGTGTCCACCTCGCTGGTGGCCACCAAGGACATAACGCCCGATGCCCGCATTACCCACATGGTCATGCAGTGGGGTCAGTTCCTGGACCATGATCTGGACCATGCCATACCGTCGGTCAGTTCGGAGAGCTGGGACGGCGTCGATTGCAAGAAGACCTGCGAGTTTGCGCCGCCCTGCTACCCCATTGAGGTGCCTCCGAATGATCCGCGCGTGAAGAACCGACGCTGCATCGATGTGGTGCGCTCCAGCGCCATCTGCGGCTCCGGCATGACCTCGCTGTTCTTCGACAGCGTGCAGCACCGCGAGCAGATCAACCAGCTGACCTCCTACATTGATGCCTCCCAGATGTATGGCTACAACACAGCCTTCGCCCAGGAGCTGCGCAACCTGAGCTCCGATGAGGGTCTGCTGCGCGTCGGTGTGCACTTCCCCAATCAGAAGGACATGCTGCCCTTTGCCGCACCGCAGGACGGCATGGACTGTCGCCGCAATCTCGATGAGAACCAGATGAACTGCTTCGTGTCCGGCGACATACGCGTCAACGAGCAAGTCGGTCTGCTGGCCATGCACACGGTCTGGATGCGCGAACACAATCGCATTGCCATCAAGCTGCGCGAGATTAACCCACACTGGGATGGCGACACGCTCTATCAGGAGGCGCGCAAAATTGTCGGCGCCCAGATGCAGCACATCACCTACAAGCAGTGGCTGCCACTGATCATCGGCGAGAGCGGCATGGCCCAGCTGGGCGAATATCGTGGCTATGATCCCCAAGTGAATCCCAGCATTGCCAACGAGTTTGCGACGGCTGCCTTGCGCTTTGGCCATACTATCATCAATCCCGTACTGCATCGCTTGAACTCCAGCTTCCAGCCGATACCACAGGGACATCTGCAGCTGCACAAGGCCTTCTTTGCGCCCTGGCGTCTGGCCTATGAGGGCGGCGTGGATCCTCTGATGCGCGGCATGCTTGCTGTGCCCGCCAAGCTGAAGAAGCCCGATCAGAATCTGAATACTGAGCTCACGGAGAAACTGTTCCAGACTGCGCACGCTGTGGCCCTGGACTTGGCTGCCATCAACATTCAGCGTGGACGAGATCATGGCATACCCGGCTACAATGTATACAGAAAGTTCTGCAATCTGACCGTAGCTGCGGACTTTGAGGATCTGGCCGGCGAGATAACCAATGCGGATATACGGCAGAAGTTGCGTGAACTTTATGGCCATCCGGATAACATTGATGTCTGGCTGGGCGGCATACTAGAGGATCAGGTGGAGGGCGGCAAGGTGGGTCCACTGTTCCAGTGCTTGCTGGTGGAGCAGTTCCGACGCCTGCGTGATGGCGATCGCTTCTACTACGAGAATCCGGGCGTCTTCCTGCCCGAACAGCTGGTGCAGATCAAGCAGGCCAATTTGGGCCGTGTGCTGTGCGATGTGGGCGACAATTTCGATCAGGTTACCGAAAACGTGTTCATTTTGGCCAAGCATCAAGGCGGCTACAAGCCATGCGAGGACATTCCGGGCATTAATCTCTATCTGTGGCAGGAGTGCGGCAACTGCAACAGCCTGCCGCCGCTCTTCGAATCCTTTGTGCCACAGACCTACACCAAGCGTAGCCAGCGCCGGAAGCGTGATGCCGAGCAGGAGGTGCCCAACGCTGAGAGCTATGACAGTCCCTTGGAGGCGTTATACGAAGTGAACGAGGAGCGCGTAAGCGGCCTGGAGGATCTCATTGGCAGCTTCCAGAAGGAGCTGAAGAAGCTGCACAAGAAACTGCGCAAGCTGGAGGACTCCTGCAATGCTGTCGACGCCGAACCCGTGGCGCAGGTTGTCCAGCTGGCGCCTGCTCCACAGCCCGCTGTGGTGAAGCCGAAGCGCAGCCACTGCGTCGATGACAAGGGCACCACGCGACTAAACAACGAGGTCTGGACGCCGGATGTGTGCAGCAAATGCAATTGTTTCCATGGCCAGGTCAACTGTCTGCGTCAACAGTGCGGCGAGGTCAGCTGCCCGCCAGGCATCGAACCGCTGACACCTCCGGAGGCCTGTTGCCCGCATTGCCCGGTCATGAGCAAGCCGGTCGACTGAGCTGGGCACTGGACATGGCAATTTGCATATCGACTTAACAATTAATCAAACCCCCTTAAACTGAGTAGCCACATTAACACTTAAAGGCGGATTCCATTTAGATTTAACATGAAATCTTTAAATATACGATTTTTAACGCACACAAATGCAGTTGCAGAAGGAATCTTGACGCGACACGTCGTCACATAGACATTCTCCCAATCGACGGTAACCGCCTACAACTCTAACCATGACGCGCACAGAGCAAGCAATTAATTAATTAACAATTAACTAAATATTTACTGCTACACATGTAACAATAAAGCACAGTATCAAAACTTAGCACACTATCTACTGCTCGAAGTTAACGTATTTGGTGTGCGTGCCCTTGGCTATCACAGAGTTGTCCTTTTTATGCCGCAGCTGGCAGTCGATGAAGGCGAGCGATTTTCCGGCCCGCACCAGATTTGCCTCAATGAGCACCTCATCGCCCACACGGGCCGACTTCAGGTAACTGACGTTGATGTCAACCGACACACCTGGATGACAGGGCTTGGACATCAGGGCATAGGTCGTAATCATGTCCACCAATGTTGCCGTATAGCCGCCGTGTAAGCCGCCGGCTTTGTTTAGGTGCTCCGGCGCCACGGTGAATTCTGCTGTGCAAAGTCCATCGCCGCCATCCAGAATTTTTACCTAGTGAAAGCTATAAGATGTTAAACGTGTCAAGCGGCTGTCGATGTCTATTGCCAACCTTTTCCAGGTGCCGCTCAAAGCCCGTAGCCTTAGCTATAATCTCAGATATGTGCTTCGCAAATTCCAAGCCCTTTTTGCGCGTTCCCATATTTGTGTTTGTTACGAAACGTGTAAACGGCAAAGCAAAAACAATAACAACAGGTTCAAGTGATGTGCACTGCCAACTATCGATAAGTCACGACTTTCACGGAAGCTGTGACGTCACTAGCTTCGCTTAAAAGCTGTGACGTCACCAGCAGAGATAGCCAAAGAGCATAGCTCAGAGTTAGCTATCTCTTATTTATTTAATTTCATAACTAAATTTATTAGCTCGTTTTCGTGTTAAAGTCCACGAATTTGGTTTGACCGCCCTTGGCAATGATTTTGCCATCCGCCTTGTTTCGCAACACACACTCAATGTAGGCCATTTTCCGGCCTGCATGCAACGTCTTGGCATCCACTTCTATGACATCTCCCGGTTTTGCTGCAGCCAAATAGCTGACACTCAGACTGGAGGTGACACCCGGATGTGAGCCCTTGGACATGAGTGCATACGTAGTTACATTGTCCAAAATCGTGGCCGTTAGGCCGCCATGCAATGAGCCCAGGCGATTCAAGTGCTCGGCCGAGACAATGAATTCGCCCACGCAGCGCCCTGCGCCGCCATTTGTTATTTTCACCTGCAACAAACAGTTTGAATGCGGCGCGCTATCGATAACACAGCTTATATAATATCGAAACTTGATGTCAGCTGTTTTGTTGCGTCGCTTTTGCACTTTGCTTTCCGCGAATATTTGGCGTCCACTTACCATTTGCGTGACTCGATCAAAACTTGTGCCTTTCGATATAAATTCGGCAAGTTTTTTAACCATTTCGACGCCATTCTTAGCTGACATTATAATTCAGTTACGTCTGCACAGCAGCTCTCCTTTCACCGTACTGAGCGCTTTGAAATGAAAAAAGCTACTGAAGCAAGCGCTAGCGATGACAAAGGTGAGTGTAAAACATCAGCTACATACATGCATACATATATAACAAATTTACATAGCGTGTGTACGTATGCATATGTGTGTGTGTTGCCAAATTAACTGAGCCAAAGTCTAGACGGGCAACATGTGAAATTCACGCATTTGTTTTGCTCGGTCTGTACGCGTCTGCGTCTGCCGGCAATGTGATAAGAAAAAAAAAGCTTACAAGTTCAAGACTTATAAAAAACTAATATGGAGCACAAATAATAATAATCATGATGATAATGATACTTGTCAGCAATAAAAAGGGAAAGACTAGCAAGTAAGCCGTACTTGGGTCTGAATTGCCTTAATATACATATATTCTTATTTATAATATTTTATATTATATACATACATATAAGTAAATTCAGTTATGTACTTACCCGAAAATTCACTTACACACTTACGAAGTTTTATAAGTAGAAGGAAACGCAGGTAGTACTGAAAGAAAAGAAGTAGAGAGAGGGTTATAGTAAGATCAGAAGAAAGATGAATAAAGTGAGAACGAGAAAGGATAAGAGTAAATTAGAGTAAAAGTATGATCAAAGATAACATTTATAGATTGAAAACACAAATTGTTAAAATATCACTTATCAACGCAGCCTGTAAGCCTTACTTGAATTAATGAGAATCGAATAGAAGGGCAGCAGTAAGCAATTAGCTTTTATAAAATTTGCAGCGCTGCGACAAGTAAACTTCTTGAATGTTTTGCATGACAGAAACAAACATACATATATGCACACACACATATATATATGTGTGTATGTATGTACATAATGTATATCTGTACATGTATAAAATTTTTATATAGGTTTAAAAATTAGATAAAAATAGAGTTAGATTAAAGGGCCAGTTATGACAGAGTGCATTATATAGAAACTATATTACTCGGCCTTGCCCGGACTTAACGCTAGTTTTATATAAAATAGATTGGCTACCTTACTTACCTTTCATAGAGATAAACTTGATTAGGGTCGTGTTGACTAAATCTGCCTCCTTCATTCCGTTCCGTTCCTTCGTTCTTTCTGCCGCAGCTGGAGCAGCGATGTCATTCCAACTATTGTCCAAGAGTGATCTCAGGCAGGAGACTGTCCATGACTTTGTGGCCTACACAGCGGATGGCGATTGCATTTCGCTGCTCGGTTCGAAGACGGAGCTGCTTACCCTGGAATTGAACAGCAAGTCGAACCCTCAGCTGCCCTTTCCCTACGTTGTGGCCAGCTGGAAGTGTGCGAACAAGAAGCGACCACTGGACCAGCTGTCGCTGCAGGTGAATCTCCAGAATATCTACGAGAGCAGCAATGTGCTGGAGATGCAACAGCTGAGCCTGGAGCCGGCTTACACGGCCGTTTGCTCGCAAGATGTGCCGCTGCCCAATTGGCTGGCCGCCAAATTGTCAACCCAGCCGCTGCCCAATGGCCAAATGCTGTTGGCCACATTGAACAGCTATGGAGCGCTGCATTTGCTGCGCAAAAGTCCAGAGCAGCCGCTTTGGCGGCAGCACGAGAAGGGTCTCAACGTGACCGCAACTCTGCGGGATACACTGCAGCCGCCATACGAAGTGCCCGCCGTCAAGATCAACACGTTCCGGCAATATCAGGCATTTGTGGATCGCAGCTGGATAACAATGTTTGCGTGGCGTCCAGTGGACAGCGGCAGCTATGTGCTCGTCCTGGGCACAGCTGCCGGCAGCATATGGACACTGACCCTGTGCGCCAATGCAGCCACTGTCCTGGATCATTGCGAGCTGCAGACGCTCCTGGGTCGCATTTGTTTTATGCAAATCTACGAGGATCTGCTGCTTGTGGGCGACCACAACGGCCTGGTGCATCTATACAGATTTGGCACAGCGACAGAGGTGGCGGAGGAGGGTCTCTGTCTGGTCAAAACGCTGTGGCTGCGCCCGGATCACATGGGCCTGCAGGAGGCACTGATTACACACTGTCCGGAGCGCGATTGCTACTATATAGCCTGCTGCAAGGCGGCGCATCTGCTAATCTGGTGCATGCCCAAGCAGGAGGAGGGCGACTGGCTGGAGACGCGTCTGCATGCAGGTGGCATGAAGATCACGGGTGAGCCAAAGACATCCATCTGCTTTACATTTTCATAATTCTTCTGTCCACATCAAGGTCTCTGCGCTCTGGAGAACTGCAACTATGCGCTGGTCACGGCACGTGGGCAACTATATCACATCGAGCTGAGCCACAAACCCGGGCAACTGTGCGCCAGCATGCGGCCGATTGGTGTGGACGATGCCGAAAACTACCAGCCAGTCGGTCTGTGCTGCAGTCCCAGCAAGAATCTGCTGACCATTCTTTACACGCGTAGCAAGGAGTTTCTGCTCAACAAGACTGTGACCCGCCATATGCTGCATGTGCGCGTGGGCAGAATCCATAATAGCCAGGCGCTGGTGCAGCTCGAACGTCGCATCAATCCCAGTCAGCCCATCAACAGCTGTCGAGATCTGTTGGTGGACATGCGTCTGGAAATCTTTCAAGGTGTCCAGCTGGAGGAGTATGTTAACTATGCGCCATTCGATATGATTGCCTTCGACGATCTGGCCACCGAGAACCAGCAGCAGCAGCTGCAGCTCAAGTACCACATCTTGGATGCGCTCATTCAGATGCAGCGACATCAACGCAACCAAACGCTGCTCGAACAATTCGAGCAGCAACTGCAGCTGCTGTTGGCCATGCTGGCCCTCACACACATGCGACTGCGTCTCCAGTTCCTGACCAGCCTGCAGACGGAGCTGACGGCATTCCAGCGCCAGTCGGCACAATGTCAGCTGGCGGAGAGTGCGCTTATCAGGCAACAGCTGGAGCAGCGGCAGCTGCAACGGGAGCAAGCGCCCCATGCGGTTATAAAACGTTTCCTGGCCCAAATGGAGGTGCACTTTGAGCAGCTGCAGCTGAAACTGAATGTGCCGGAAACAGCACAAATGGATGATGCGTCCGATCAACAGCTTTGCACTGTTTCCTATGTGCAGGTGGGCGTGGCTAACTTGTGTGCCTTTATCCAAACATTTTATTATATATATATGTATTGTCCTTAGGTGCTGCCCACGCTGGAGCGGCACTATTGCACGCTGTGCGGACGGCTGGCTCTGCTGGATCGGCAGCTGCTCCTGGAGCTCTATGCACCGGGCAGCGTGCTGCTGTGTCCCTGCTGCCATGGATCCTACACCTTGGAGCTGTTGGATGCATAAACATGAAGCGAGCCATTCCAAATTCCGATGCCGAATCAATTCCGCAATTCTTTAGGCAGTCTTATTTTTTTTGGAGTATTTACGAAACTTTGCGGATTTGATAAGGTTTCGGAATTTAAAACATGCCCGTTAAATTTTTATTTGAACGTACTTTTTAAGTGTGCATGTGTGTGTGTGTGTACGTGTGTGCGTGCGTGCTCCCCTTAGTGTGTGTGTGTGCGTGTGCCAGTACATAGGTTAATACAGTGAAACATAAATAATAGGACTGGTCTCTAGCAGCAATATATCCTGCTCGAGCTGGCGCAGATCACTCTCCAGTTTGCCCTTGCGCTGACGCTTGTTCTCGCTGTCGATCAGCAGGGACATGGACTGATAGCTCTTGGTCATCTCATTCAAATGGGCACGCAGGCCCACAAGTATATCGTTGCGCTCCGCTTGATCCATGACGCGCATGCCGGGCATTTCGGGCGGTGCGCCGTCGGCACGCGTCGGTTTGGTCAGAGCCTCCATCGATTCAGACAGCTTCATGCCGCCGCAGAGCTCCATGAGACGTGCCTGCTCCTTGCAGCAAACGCCATGCATTTGCTTGAGCATCTTCTTGGTCTTCTCAATGTAGACGGGCACCTTGCCAAAGTCCTTGCGGCACACAAACTGCGGCACCATGCCCGAGTTGAGCAAATTCTGTCGTGTGCCCACGGGCGTGTCCACGTAGCGCGGCGGCGGCGGACAGCGCACAGTGCTCCGTGCACACCTGATATTGCGCAGCACAAAATTGGGCACCATGTCGGCCTTCTTTTCCTTTTTGCCCATCTCGGGCAGCGGCGGCATATGCCCACCCTTGGGACACACGTGCAGATTCTCGCGACGCCACTTGACGCCCTGATTCTTGCGCAGATAAGCGCAGGGCGGATTCAGCGGCACATTGGCACAGCCCATGGTGCGATGATACGACTTCTTGGCATCCGTGAGCAGGCGCATGCCATCCTTAAGTGTAATCATCGAATGCTTCTTGTACTCCATGCTCAGACGATCGCGCAGACCCTTGGAAAACTTGGCTGCCTTCTTGGAAGTAGCTGCCCAAAGGGAGAGAGAGATTAGCGACAGTCGGCACATTACCTTGCGCTTTCTACCCACCATGAACCTCTAAGCTCGCTTCCTGGGGCTTCTCGGGCTCGCGCTCCAAATTAAAGATATTCTCATTGTGATGTGTTATGTAGACCAGCGACATGATTTTAGCTTTAAAGAAAGAGAACTTCCTCCTTTCGCTTAACAAATATGCATATATCTATCTCGAAATCTGTATTGTACTGAAAATATTTTTGTAATGCTAGCTTGTATTTAAATTTATATATACGTAAGTAACGTCGTTTTGTATCGTTGCCAAGTTTCAAAAGCAGCTCCAAACCCTGTTGCCACAATAGACATGTGCTTGTTGTTGCTCTAGCAACCTATTAAATATAACTCCTCCACATATTTTTCAAACTTCAAACCGATCAATATTATTCGCAAAGGAAATTCTTGCTTAAAAAAATTTGTATGAACATATCTCAGATTGTTTTAAGAGTTTTAGGAAACCAAGCTCATATAACAATTAATAATAATAAAAATTATTAAATTCTTTGAGAAACTATAGACTGGAGGACAAAGTTTTAGTCAAGATTGAATCCACCTAGTTAACGACTTAATTTCTCTTCATCTGCTGCTGATCTCTATCAATCATATAGATATGGTTATACGTTGACAATATGTATTATTAATACATAAAAAAGGAATTTGAAACAGTTGAAGAGAGTCTTGAAACTGGGCTTAATACCTCTAAAACTGTAGGGAGATTTAAATTTAAGCGATATTTATAAACTTAATTTGTAGCTCTAAAGCTGGACCAGATTTCAAATAATAAAATATTGCAAAACAGTAATGCAACAATTAAAGCGGATTTTTTTTAACAACAATTAATATTGTTTTTTTTTTTCAGCCTTTGTTGATTAAGTATAGGATTATTAACTCAGTTCTGGCCTATCAACAATTCTCGAGCATCAAAATATATTTAAGAAAAGAGATAAATTATAATTGAATTAATAAAATCTTTTGATTAATATTCACAAGCAATTATTTTCGAGACTGGAATTCAAATTATGAGTGGAATTAAATGTCCAGCTCCTAATGAATGTTATTCTATAAATGTTGATTTATTAAAGCACAATATCAAGCCACAGCTTGTGTCGCACACGAGTTACACTTACACTTAGTATAAAATTGGTTATATAATTTGTTACCATAAAAAATTCGTGGTGTATATAAATTAGTTTATGTGTGTGTGTGTGTGTACATACATATTTATATATAAAATAGTTAGACGCTTTGATTTGGAAATTGGAAGCACAATTGAAAGACAAAAACCATCTTTATAGAGACATTAAAAAAGCACACGACGCGATGCTGAGGGCACAAATATGCTTAAAATACCTAACTTATCGGCTATATATAATCAATATGTATATGGATATGGATGTGTGTGAGTGTTCAATATGAATGAATGAATGTCAAAGCCACTTAGAGTTTGCACTGTTTAGACAGCTTTTGCAGGCACTACAACAGATTCGCATGACGCTATTGCACATTGAAAATGTGAGTCATGGATATTGGCAGCATGTGCAGCTCATTTGTTGCCGCCACCGCCACCGCCGCCGCTCTCGCTGCTCTCCTTGTTGCGCTCCTCGCGTATGCGCTTGAACGCCTCCGTCTTCACAAAGTCCACGAAATTGTAGACAACGCTGCTTTGTACGGGCGCACGCACTGCCGCCGCATCCGTGGCACCCAGACGCACACCACCCAGACCGGCGCCGCCCTGGGCATACAGATTGCCCACGCTCATGCTCTGCCGGTTGAGCAGCGGCGGCTTATTGGTCACATCCAGATCAAAGTACTGTAACTTGTGCTCCGACTGCTGCTGCTGTTGCTGCTGCTGCACTGCCTGCTGGCTTTGCTTGTGTGCCGCTGCTGCCGCCGCTGCAGCTGCGGCTGTTGAGGTCATGGCTGCTGCTGCTGAGGCGGTGCGTTGATGCTGCACCGATTGACTGCCGGGGCTGTTTGGGTGCTGGCGATGTTGCTGGCGTGGCAGTGTGCGCGTCTCATGGAAATAGGCAATTGCTGCCGGCGAGTGCACATCCGTTTCATGCGGCAGCACCATCGAGAGCGGTGCACCCGTAGACCGACGCGTGGCCGGCGACATGGTAGCCGAGGAGCCCAGCTACAGCGGAACAGCAAATATAATTAGCATGCATAAAAGTTGATATATAGCAGTGCTTACTTTATACGCATTTGGTTTGCATTTGCGATCCACGCTGGGCGGCGCGCTTGACTGCAGCTTGGTGGCGGACAATTTGCTGTTCAGCTGCTCCATGGCGGCGACGGGCGGCTTGGCCGGGAACTCTTCAGGCGGCTTGTCCTCGACGCTGCTCTTGTGCGTTGGCTCCAACGGCAAATTGGCCACCTTGGGCTTGAGTTTGCGATTAACTGGCGGGCAATCGGCTTGCTCAATGAAATCATAGCGAAACACATTGCCCTCCATTCGAGTGGGCGCTGCATTCGTATAGCAATGCTGGCGGGGCAGCGTGCGCGCACTGGTTGGGGAATTGACGGGCGCCGTTGTTGTTGATGTTGTGCTGGATGCCACCTGGCTGGGATTAGCTGGCGCCGCAGCAGCGCACGCATCAGCCATTAGATTGGGCGTGGATGCCGCTATGGGATTGCTATTGTGCGGACTGGTAACCGGTCGCTCGCCCAGCAATTGCCCCACGTTGCAATAGGGCAACTGATGCGAACGTGGAATGTCATAGCTCTCTTCGATCAACGAGGAATTGGCATGCCGTGACGCCACAATAGCTGGCGATGTGTTCTCCGTGTCCGACAGTTGCGGCAGATCACGCTGCAATCTGTAAGCAAAGGCGAAAGATTAGCTTTTGGTTGCCAACAATAGAGATGGGGTGTGCATTTTAATTACTTTTCATTATCCTTAAAGTCCAGTATAAGATTATTTTTGTTCTTCAGCACCTTGGCCAGCTTCTCCAGCGTGTGATGCTCGCCCGCGCCATCTGCGGCTGATGCTGCTATTGTTCCCAGTTGTTTGGCGTGCTTCTCAGTGCCTGTGACCGGCAACGCAGCGCCGTCTTCAGGCATCTTGGAGAAGCGCTGCGAATAGGTCAGCACAAAAGACTCGTTCTCAATGGAACTATCCGAAGGCCGTGTGCTGCGATCTGCAAGCAGAAACAGTTCATGAGATAGGAATATATTCTTGTAAGACTGGATCCTATTCCAACTTACCAATATTCTCGCGTAGGGGTAGCGGATGCGCCCACTCGTCGTCGTCGGTGAAGACACTCTCCGAGTCCGAATCAGAGCGCTGACTGCGCTGCTTCCCGCTGGCATTGGCCAGTTGCTGTTGCCAAGAACGAAAAACAATTAGCAAAGATTAAACAAAAAGGTATTCGAACGCTTACCAAGCTGCAGTTGGTTATTTTGGGTGAATAGGATTGATCGTTGGTCAGATTGAGGCCAATATTGTTGTGACTGCGCGGTGTATCATAGAATTTGGGATCCAAATTGTTGAGCGCAGCCGCCGCATTGGCATGGCTATCCAATAAGAACTTGGGACTGCCCGTGAAGCATTCGCTAATGGGTATATACGGCCCGGAGGCGGTGCTCAGCGCCGGCGATGCCTGGACGCTGCCATGCTGCTGCTGCTGTGTCATGGCCTCGGCCAGGGTTTGTTGATTCAACACCAGATGCTCGGGCAGCTTGCGCACCACGCCATTCGCATTGATGGCGAGACGAGCAGCTGCGGCCTGAGCCTGTGCCTGCGCCTGCTGCTGTTGCTCGGCCTGGGCCTGCGCCTGTGCCTGGGCCTGAATCAAAGCGCTCTGATTTAAGTAGAGCGCCGTGGCCGGCGATGGCGGAGGCTGTTGCTGTGCAGCCGAGAGCAGCTGTTGCTGATCAAAGTGTGCATCGCAGAGCAACGTCTCCCGATTGTTGTAGTCCGTATTCACATAGACCGAGTCCGAGTTGTTGTTGGCGCTCTGCGGCTGCTGATCAATGACCGCCGGACGACGCAGCAGCGAGTTGGTCGCCGTGGTCCCTGCCGACGAGTGCAGCGATGTGGTTGTTGTGTTTTGCGTGGAATTGCTCAAGGCGCCGCTGGAGCTGGTATGCTGCTGTGCGCTGCGATTCTCATCTGTGTGAAAGGATGTTGGCAACAGGTGAAAGTGGCCGCAGACCAGTTTTAGTTTGATTTAAAAACTCACCTGCTGCTGCTGCAGCGGCAGCGGCTGCTGTTGTCGATGTGGCTGTGGCGCCCAGCGGCAGCTCATTGGACTGCTTGGTGTCATGCAGATGGCACACTTGGCAGATGCAGTTCACCCAGTCGCGCATGCTAGCTTCGGTCTCGGCAGCCAAGTAATATGTGCGCTTCGGCGTCTTAATGTCGAACATATACTGAAATTTCTGTTTGCGATTCTCCAAGCGCAGCCCGCAGTCGACCTGCTCGCATTGATCCAGATCGATGACACCCTTCAGCTTGCGGCAGTATTGATCCGTATAGTATTCGAGGCAAAACTGCTCCGGTATCTCGCCCTGCTTCAGCGTAAACCAGCGACGACGCCAGCGCTGCAAAAGCAAACAACAATTTCGCTTGACTTTTCGCACGATAAGCTCGCAACAGGGGCGCAGTCCGCACAGCTGTACAGCAGACAGTCCGTCAATCAGTCAATCAGTCACTCAGTCAGTCAGCCAACATATGCTGGATATGAGGGGCGCAGCACGACTGCGATAAGCTGCTGCAGTGTGCTTGGACGGCGGGCAGCTATCAGCCGCAGCAGCGGTGAGTAAGCGACGCTGCCGACGGCGCTGCCGACGTCGATGCCAGCTGCGCTGCTGCTTTTCCGCGAATCGTGTTTACATTGACATTTTCTTGAGTAATCAGCGGCTCACACCCACATTGCCAAACAGCTGTCCGGAACGGCGAGTCTATTGACACCGTCGAGCCAAGTGGCCGCCTTCTTGGCCAGGGCTAAGCGAACAGCCAAATACTCTACACTTTTTCTTATCAATGCAGTTTTTCTCCGATGTTTAAAAAAAAAAAAAATTGTAATTTTCAGCTAGACGAAACGTGGATCGAGCGGTTCCATTCGAAAGTCGGAAGTCCAATGCATCACGCGCTTTTCATTTGCGATTAACGTGCTACGTTTTCTTATAAAAAATAGAGAGAATAGCCCGCACTAGTCAGTTGTGTTAGACCTACGAATACCCTGTAATTTAGTTTAGGTTGCTTTTTGAGAATTGCAATTAATTTGCTTATATGTGAAACTAGTCTTGGATGAAATTCGTTGGCCAAAAAAAACAGCTCAGTCGATAAACGAACCATTTTTAGTTTTGACAAAGGGTTTGAATCAAGTTAAACAACTTTTGAGGAATACTCAATCCAACAGCATTATTAACTATTTGAGTATATAACTATCTAACAACTTTTTCATATATAAAGAATTATATATTGAAAAGTGAAGAGTTTCGAACCAAAACCTGGGCTTAAGCAGCTTTACGGCTGTGCAGAACAGCTTTACGGATCCAGGTATTCGGTTCGAACCATTCCAAAACTGAATCAGCGAAAATGTTTTTATGGCCGAAAAAAAACAAACTCTTTTTTTAACTTTTACTCTACCGAAACTAAACCAATTCCCCTTTTGCTTATATTAGTTTCTCCAGCTGCATTTAAGATTTGGGCTAATCTAATACTTAATTTAGTTGGGCTATAAATAGCTTCTATATATAATGCACTTGCTCGTTTGATTATAAATTCTATTCACGTCAAAGACGTCAGAGTTCTTATTATTTACATTTAATTTGGAAAAAAAGGGAAAATTCTTGGCATAATCGTGAAATCGACGAAACTGGAACAATGCCAATAATTGGCACAAATAACAAGAACAAGAACAAGGCACATATGGAATACCCTTTCACCATTCAGCAGGCATATTAGCACAGTCATGATGCGCTATAATGACTCAAGAATTGATATTGGAATATATTATGCTTGGCAGATGATGCATTGGAATAAATTATGATTCATGACATGATCACAGTTCGTTTAGTCTGCAGCAGCACAAAAGGGGGTTGATATGCTGATACAGTGCTCACTCGCTAAAAGGTATACATTCCATTCTGAAAGAGCTGACTTTCGTTCTATGAAAATATCGATCAACTTTTAGAGAATTAAGGCTTCTCCGTAAGCGGAATCTTCAATTTAAATGCCAATGTTAATTTATGAACAATTTTTGTATACAAATTCTTTTTAATGTGCGTTCACTGTACCAAGAGTTTAATGCCTAGCTGATATCATATTCTATATATATTTTTTTTTTCAAAAATTAAACAAAGGGTATTCGCCCTTCTGCTAGCTCTTTTTCTTTTTTTTTGCCAGACAAATTTGCATTGTTGTCTGCACAGTTTCACGCTTAATTCAATTATAAACAATAAACATAATGCCACACGCACGCAAACACGCACACACACATACACACACACACACACACACCGTTATAGAGAAATTGGCACCCTGAGGCGCAACAAGAAACTATAAGAAGAAGAAGAAGAACATAAATAATAAGCAGCTAATTTTGTTTAAGCGCCTGGCATACAAATTGGGCTAGGGTTGGGCATGGATAGGACAGTTAGCCCCTATATAAGGCCTGCCTTAATGCAACAACAACAACAACAACAACAAGAACAACAAGAACAACAACAACAACAGCAACAACAATAAGGAACGACAAGTGCGTCACTTTGTTTGTGCGTGCTGTGTGGCTTATCGTATAGACATACAATTTTTTACAAGCATACGGATATGTAGATATACACATGGATACATAGTCGGGTATATACGGCTAGAGCATACCATGTGTTTTACAAAATTCAGGACTTAAAGCCAAATCAGGGCTAAAACTGAGACATTGAACAATGAAAATGTTGTAAATGCTCCAAGAAGAAGCTTAGCTGAAAATCGATAATTATCGATTATGCTTGACTACTGTGTACCGTTAAAAGTTCGAAGCTCTCTTTACATAGATGGTCAGAAACTTTGTCTCTTTCATATGATCAAGCATGCACAGTGGAGTTCGCAGGAGCTGCTCTGCCTGCCTGTCGCAAACACATACCCAAGTCGAGTATACCCGTTGTCAAACACTTTTAATGGGCATCAAAGACCAAACATGCATACATACATATGTCGGTGTGCGCCTTGTTGATTGCTTTGTGTTTTCATGTTTTTTGTGCTTGGGGCAACACTTTCTACTTTGCGAGTTAAATGTTGATTAAACGTGCAACAGTTGCTCAACAGTTGTAATTTAATACGCAACGCCGCTAGCGGCGCTTAACGGTTAGCGCACGGTAAACATTTAATTAAGCGTAAACTTTGAGGGCAGCCTCACAAAATGTTCCCACGCCACACACACACACATGCACACACACACATGCACGCAGGCGCAGCTATTGAAAATAGCTCATTCACAGTTTACAAATTGACAGCAACAACAAAACAACAACTGGCTTGCGGTTTTTTCTTTTGCTTGTTTTGCTTTTCAATCACTTCGCCAGGCATTTGCAGCAACAACAACAACAACAACAACAACGCGATATCATCAGCCATGCAGGCCATGCCCAGTCCGTCTGCCGCTTATTAATGAATTAAAAATGATTATCGGACACACAACAACAACAAACAAATGATCACACACTAATACGCTCACACACACACACACACGCACACGAACACACTGAAAATGTATACAGAGCGTAATTGTACAAAAATGCCACTGGTTGGTGCGTTTCTTTGCATGACTCAGTGTAGAACAAGCGGAAAAAAACAGTTAAATGCTATTTCCATGCTGCCGCTGCTGTTGTTGTTGTTGCTGCTACTGCTGCTGCCTTTTTACCGTATGCTTTGCTTGCAGCTTGCATTTTGCACATTTCACTGACCATTTGCTATTTGCATTGGGGGCTAAGACTTAAAAAAAAAATATGCTTTGTTGCTGCGTGTGTGGGTCAATAAACTTACAGCACGCCAAATGCGCTTTGAGGGCGGCGATTTTATAAGCCATCCTTCGTGGAATGTGCTATCCATTATTTATTTATACGCACGATTATTAATAATTATAATATCTGTTTGATTTTTCACTGTCCGCACACAACAACGCACCAACACACTCGCGCATTTATTTTCATTATTTTAAGAGCAACCTAACAGCGGCACCGACTTTAACATGTGCTGCCTCTGTTCAATAACAGTAGCTGCTAACATTTACTGTAGCAACAATTTGGGTTGCCATGCCTCGTGCAATATTGTCAACAGTAAAAGCAAATTTTCAAATAACAAAAAATTGCGCGATTATTAAAAAATTATAGGCTGCTAAGAGCATGAAAATCATTTGCTAGCTTAACATTACATTGGCATACAATAAACCTAACAGCTAGTCGATGTTTTTATACTCACCTTGGTTATCGATGCTGTTAATCCGATAAAATGTGCAGCGTCATATCGATAATCCAGCATGGTATACGGTGGAACTAGACTATGACGAACTATTATTCCTTATTAAATATCCTCTCCAAATAACTTTTGTTGATTATATTACATTAACAATAGTACATTGATTGATGTTTTAGAAATCTTGCAAGTGTGTTGTTTAGAAATAAATTTTATTCCGTCGCGTAAATTGCATGTGGACCACATACAGCTTTCCCATATACATATGCACAATTATAGCAAACAGCGCTACGCTGATCTCAGACGGAACGGGCTGCTCCAGTTGTTGTTGTTTATTTGTCCTTGCTGTTGCCCTTGCCACCACGAATCCTACCAGTACGACGGGCAGCGATGAGACCGACCTTGCGACCGGCGGATGTGCCACGCTTGACTGTCGACGCCTTACCAATATGTTGATGGTTACCACCACCGTGGGGATGCTCCACAGGGTTCATGGCAACACCACGCACCTTGGGCCAGCTGTTGCGCTTCACCTTGTACTTGTGGTAGGCACGACCGGCCTTCAGGATGGGCTTGTCAATACGACCGCCGCCGGCAACGATGCCGACCATGGCGCGGTTGGCCGAGGGCACAACCTTCTTGGCGCCCGAGGGCAGCTTGACACGGGTCTTCTTGGTGTCCGGATTGTGGGCAATCACGGTGGCATAGTTGCCAGAGGTGCGCGCCAAACGGCCACGGTCACCGGTCTTCTCCTCCAGATTGCAGATGATGGTACCCTCAGGCATCTGGCTCAGTGGCATCACGTTGCCGATCTGCAGCGTAGCCTTGCGGCCGCAGTAGACAAACTGGCCGGTGTGCATGCCCTCGGGGGCGATGAACAGTTCCTTGCGGAGCTTGTAGCGGTAGGGATCACGGAAGTGAACGACGGCCAAGGGTGCGCCACGACCGGGATCGTGCACGATATCCTAAAGAAATTTAAAAAACAACACAAGCAATTAGTTAAGCACATCCATGTGTTGGTGTTGCCATATCGTGCAACGAAAAATTAGTACTTACCTTGACAACGCCGCGAATGTAGCCAGAGCGCTCGGCGAAGTCCAGAGAACGCAGCTTGGCGGCTCCCTTGCGCTTCTTGACGTGCGCCTTGAAGACGGAACCGGCGCCCTTACGCTGTGCACGAATTACACGACCCATTTCTACAATTGGGAAAAGAAATATCCAATTAGTGTTTATCCATCAGCAGACAGCAGGTCGTTGAGTCATTTTATTTCACACAGACTGCCAATTATTCACAAAGATTCAATGCACACACAAGCTTGAGTCACATTTTAAACATATTGTTTATTATTTATTTCGGATGTTGCAGTTTGCGTTATTAATTTTTCGATTATCATTTCAGCAGTCGACACCTACCGATGCTCGGGTAAAAAAGAAAAGAGAGAAGAGGAAGACAGCAGCATAATGTCAAACTTTGACAGGCAGCGCTGCCAACTTCACGCTCTTTTCCGTCAGCTGTTCGCTACATTACAGTGTTGCTCAATACATGCGGTTATCGTTAATCGATTAAAATAGTACAAATTGTGCGTTATCGAAAATACTAAATTTAAATTGCAGTTGATTTTGTTTATTTTGTTTTTGTTTTTTTTTTTATAATTTTGAGATTATATATATAATAATTTTTTTACGATTTAGATTTACATTCATTTGTTCATCAATTTACTTGTTTTATTTTAGAAATAAAGTAAGCATTTTATTACTAATTCGGTTTTTTTTTGTTTTGCTTTTTGTTGTTTTTAATTGCAGTTTAGTGCATTTTGTTTAAAGAACATTATTAAATATGGGGGACACGGGGTATACATTTATTTCATTTTCCTTTGTTTTATAACACAAAAAAAACAAACAATATTTTAAATATTTCTCTTTCAATTTCATTTTCATTTGCCTTGCTTGGGAGGGACGCACATGTGAAAACAACACAAAACAAGCAAGAATAATAATCATAAGTTTTTTCTTTAGCATTAACTGCCAGCTTAATTTGACATATGTACGTGTGTCTGTGTGTGTGTGTGTGTGTGTATATTGCAAATTGATATATTTTGTTGTGTGTGCCGATCGCTAGAGAATGTGTGTGTGGGTGTGTGTGTGTGTATATTGCAACGTAGCCATCAAATAATTAAGCTTTAAAAAATTCTTCACACACATAAAAAAAACAAACACATAGAAATTGATGCACAGCACACGAAGCGGATTTTCCTTTCGAATTGTTGTTTTTCAATTTGTTTTTTTTTATTAATTTGAACATGCTAGCTTTTTATAGAATTTTGTATCATTGTTTTTTGTTTAGTTCATCTTTTGTTTTTTTGTTAGGTTCTGTATAAAAGTTCAGTAAAAAATGCAGCTTAACTAGGTTCATCGAATTTTCTCCAATCTTGTTATCAAGCTAAGTTTAGTTGTCTTTCAAATATGATCAATCCATCAATCAATCAATCAATCAATCAATCAATTTGTTTTGTGTTGTTTGTGTTGCTTTCGGTTTGTTTTCCTTTCGTTTTTCCTTTTATTGTACACATATTCTCATCAATCATAATTGTTGCGACTTTTGCTTATAACATTTTGTTTTTGTTTTTGTTTTTTGTTTTGTTCAGCTCTCTCTCTATAATATTATTTACTTGCTTTTGTTTATCACTTAGTTTTTACAATGGCGCTTTTTTTAATTTTTGTTTTTGTTTTTGACTTTTCATAAAACTGAGCAAACAGAGACATTTGTTTATAAAAGTTGCACAAAGTTATTTCAAATAGTTTTTTTTTTTTTTTGTTTTTTCAACAGAAAATTGTAATTGCAATTTGTTTTAATAATTTTCTTTCTTTCGCTTTTCCGGCGATTTATTGAAACTTAATTTGAAGTTGTAGGCAAATAATATATATTAAGTAGAAAAACAATATGCACACAATTCGAAATTCACATTTGAAATGAAATTGTTTTTTGTATATGTGCATTGTGTACAAATTAACTGCGTATTCTCATTTTGTTCTCTTAGATTTTAGTTATGTAATCCTTATAATACATATGCATGTGTTGTATCTTGTTTTAAGCAAAACATGAATTGGGCGGGGAGGGGCAAAAATGAAAAACCTCGACGAGTGAGCTTGGAAAATTGTTTGGTTTTTTCCTTTGCCGTTTTCTTCTCTTTCTTTCTTTCTTGAAATTTTCTTTAAATACATTGCTTAACTCTCGCCTAAAATTGTGCACTCAATTGAAGATTTACTTTTTATAGCACATTTACTAATTGAAACGTTTCCTTTGCTTTCATAAGCACATCTTTACGAGTGTGTGTGTGTGAGTGTGGTTGTGTGTGTGTAATAGGAAAATCTAATTCTCATTAGAACTTATGCACTTTTTACTTAAACGATTTAATGTTCTTCTGTGTGTGTGTGTGTGTGTGTGTGTGTGAGAGAGTGTGTTCTCTTTAGATATTTTGTTGTTGTTGTTGTTGCAAGCTTGTTGGTAAAATAATTAGAAAATGTTTGTTGTTATTTTGAATATTGAATGTTGCCAAAAGAAACGTGTTGCGGAAGGGTGTGTGCGGCTCTACCAATTGGCCATGCCCGGCTTGTTGAGCGTCATGAAATAGATTTGACACGATGAAGCACCTTTGGCACTGCTGAAGAATACTTTGTCATTGCGCTCGCAAAGGAATTTCAAGCGTTGCGCCTTCTTGTGCATAAACACACCATCCAAATGGCCGCTCTCCACGGAACGTATCTATGCAACAGAAGACAAAAGTATCTAGGTTATCTTGGATTTATCTGCATAAAGGATATTCCAACGTACCTCTATTGCCTTATTGCCCCAGCCCATGATTTGTCCCGTGCCTATGTAGGCCACCGAGGTGGGCATTTCGCCCCACTGAAAAGAGAGCACGGATTAATATCAAATCGTGTTGAGATATTTTCGAAATGTAATCTTGACTTGCCTGCAGCACAATGTTCTTGGATACACGTCCGGCAGTGTTCACATAGACGCCTTCGTTGTCATAGCAGAGAAGGAGCTGCATGCCATTTGAATTTGGAAGCGCCACAATACAATGGGGAATGATTGCACCCTGAGTCTGTGTTTGGAGATGTTTCGCATTTACTGTGTATATCCAATCATGATGTTGGCATGCGCCGCCACTTACATGCTTAGGAAGATATATATCGTATACTTCAGCTGAATCTAAATCAACCGCATGGAAACCCTCAGCGGAACCATAAATCACTTTCAGTCTCGACTGATCCTCAATTGTGAGATCGACCAAAAGGGGGCGATGTTCCAGTTCACCAAAATTCTAAACAGAAAACCAACACTAATTATAGATCTTCTGATTTATATATATATAACTCTATATCGTACGCACCTTAAATGCCATAAATTTGTGATATGGTTTGGGCGCCCATGCATAAATTTCAATTGAGTCTTTTAATGCAATCACTAGGAACTTAATCCTCTCGTATTTGACAATCTTAAAATGTACAGCACCTTGTAGATCACCCACATTTATCCAGCCGTTGCGACGCTCCACTTGCTGTCGGCGGGAAGGAGGCGGAAAGGAAGGCGAGGGCGAAAAGAAAGAGAAACATTAAGACAATGAAAACAAAGTGTGCTAGACGGATGCGCCCGACTAGGAGATACCCTGAACCCGTTAAGGACATTCTAGATTACTTCTATATATTGCATACACACACACACGCACACAAGCTGCGCGCTTCATTCAGCCGCTGTGCTTCTTCTTCGATTTGCCTCAAACTATCTATAGGAAACGCATTCTTGAGTAACTTCGGTGTTTACAGTCCGATCTTTATGAAATTTGCAGAGCTTAAATATGACACTCCAGAGTGTTAGCATACCAAAGCGAAAGAATATATCTTCAAAAGTATTCGAGCAATGGATGTTGTTCTCCAAGAAGTGAAATATTCTCTATCTTTATAGACTAAACCAAGAACTATGCCAAGTGCATAGCAAGTATCTCTTAAAGTTTTGGAGTTATGCTTAACAAATCATGTTTATAAATCAATAATTATTCAAGATTATGAAAATGATATCGATAGGATTTATGTCCAGGAAAGAAATCGTATAGATATGCTATCGAGGAATAAATCCTATTTATAGGGAATACTATATCTAAAACTTTTGCTTTGAGTCCAGAGCAGAGGAACAGACGGACTTAGTTAAATCGATTCAGATTCCCTCAGCCTGTTACATGCATAAGCACAAAATCAATAAGCCCCATTTTGATGGCTGTAGGGTATAAAAGAGAAGGGTTTCCATTTGTTGACTATTCATTTGTTTCCACTCACATCGGAGAGTCCGTCGGTGCGCAAGATCTTGGACTTCAGCCAGGATAAATAATAGACGCGCACGCGATTCTTTTTGCCCGATATGGTAACCAATATGTTCTGGCCCTCTAGCACCTCCATTTGCTGGAAACGGCGACGCGAGATCAGCTGATAGACCTGTCAAGAAGATTGGCTTTAGTTTAGGCTTTCAACTGGTTTAGTTGTGCCGGCTTACCTTGCCCTGGCCGGAACGATCGAGCAGCATGAGTCCATTCTCGGTGCCAATGAGTAAATTGACGCCCCAGAGTGCGGCGCACAGTATTTCCGAGTTGAAACGCTTCTTATACTTACGGATTTCGGGCGTATCATTGGCCGCCTCGTGCGAGGTGGGCGTCACATTCACATTGACCGTGGATTCGCGACGTGTCGGACCGGAGCCGCCGGCACCGAAGCCAAAGGTGAGAAAGCTGCGTTGTTTCTGTTGCAGCGCGTACGCATGCGGTGGCAAGTGGGCGTTCGTATTGTTGTTGGCGGAGGCGGAACAGGATGGTGACAGGTGTAGAATGTTCGCAGAAGAGGAAGAAGCAGATTTATGCAATAAATTAGTAATACTGCTGGAAGAACGCGTTTTACTAATCGAATTCTTTGGCGAATTTTGTCGCGAATTCGATGTGGACGAGGCCAGCGATATGGTTGACTGTGGTGAATTATTAGCACTAATAATTATGCCACCGACAACACTGCCGCCGCCATGACCGTGGCCGCCAACGCCGACGGCGACGCCTGCAGCGCTGCTGCTGCCGCTGCCGCTGCTGCTGCTAGCGATAAACGATTTCGATGGCGTGGAATGCACGGATGAACTAATGGCCGCTTGATACTTTATTTGATTGATCGTTTGATTGATTGATTGATTGATTGATTCGTTTGTTTTTGTTGTTGTTGTTGTTGTGGTTGGTTGTTTTTTTGTTCGTTTTGGTTTTTGGTTGTAATTAAAGAGAAAAGAAAATAGAAAAAGTGCAAGAAAAAAATTTCAATTAGTCTTCGAGTTGTCAACAAAATAAATTCATTAATACAAATTAAACATGCTGAGGGGCAGTTGGGTAGGTGTGTGTGTGTGTGTGTGAGGGATTGGTTAAATATTGTGTGCTAGCGACAATTAAAATAAAAACAATAGCCAAAAATATATATATATTTATATTGCATTATTATAAACAGAGCCGAGAAATGTTTGGAGAAAATGTTAACGATAATACAACAAAATAAAATGTGATTAGTCTTTCCCCAGAGGCCAATGGTAAACAAAACTTTTAAAAAAGTTTACATATTGATTTGTGTGTTTGTGTGTTTATGTATGTGTGCGCGTGTGTGTGTGTGTGTTGAAAAACAATAAGAATGAACAGAATACAGGTTTGGTTTACAGTAATTGAGGAGCATCGCCCTCGGCGTCTGCAATGTGTACAGTGCGTTAACAGCGCGGCGGCAAACGAAATGTTAGTTACAGTAACAGTGACATGAGGCTGCCTGCTATGCAACGCAAGGTAAATAAGAGAGCAAAAGAGCAAGAGAGCAAGAGAGAGAGAGAGAGAGGGAGAGTGAGTGCGGCCACAGTGGGCGCAGCAGTGCATTTGGCTAGCGAAAATATAACAGAAACATGTATTCATATATTATATATACAAACAATAACATAACATGACATTTCTGGTGCGAAATTATACAGGTGAATATTGAGTAAATTAGGAAGCCCTGCACACATTTAATAATATGTACATTAACACATGACACATTGTAAAATTTAATTAGAATTTGTTGGAAATGATAAAACTATACACAAAAGTTTGGTAGTTGTTGGGAGTTTTTACACTTTTAATATGTATTTTTTTTAATTTTTAGATTTTTAGAAGAGTATATTGCATTGTTGTTCGAAAACAATTGCTATTGATGATTTGGTTGTTGTTGTTGTTGTTGTTGTTTTTCATACTTACTATTGTAAATTTTGGTTTGTTTGGTAATTGATTTGTATTTTGTAATTTGTTAGAATATATCGTAGTGGCCATCAGCTCAAACGTTGCGGAAAGACAAAGCACAATTAAGAAGAAGAAAGTTTTTGTAACGTTTTTAATCTGGTTAAATTTAAAATTCATTTGGTTTTGATTCATTTAAAGAGAACATGCACTTGTAAAAAGCTGCGAATTGCATGCACATTTTATTTTATTTTTTAATATTTTTCATTTTTTCGGAAATTGTTGACCAATCTATTGAAATGGACATTTTCGTTACGCGCTCTTCATAATGAACTTTGCTCCACGTCAAAGAAACATGTTTATGCTAAGATATTCTTTTGGATTAGTCACATTTGATGGGTTAGATAATTTCGAATAGGTCAGTATAATTTTGTTTAAAGCACAAAACGAATAAAACACATAAACAAAATAACTAAACTTTCTGCTACAGTAGGTTTGCTTCAAAGAAGAGGGAATTCAAAAAATATAACTTTCATTTAATGTTATTAAAGAGTAAGAAATTTCGCAAAAAGCGAAACAATGAACCACTGTAAGAAAATATTTCTGTTAAGTTAACAGAATGTTAAGTGCTTTTCAAGCGAAATGGCAGTTGATTTCATGACTTCAATCAATGTGGATTGAACGACTTTTGTTACTTGTTTATTGAAAAACAAATTTGTAAACGATTAAGACGATGCATGAGTCGATTTTTAGCTGCATTTTTCTTTTGCAGAGGACAGTTAACAATCGAAGACAAAAAAATGAGTAGACAAATAACAATGATAATAAAACAAAAACTGGCAACTCTGGAAAACCGAGTTGAACGCACAAGACACACAATGAAATATCGAATCGGTTGATAAATACGATTAATAATTGAATCATTTATCGATACTCACCTCCTCACTGGATGATTTATCGTGACGCGGAGGCGTCGCCGGCGAGGCCTGGCTGAGCAGATCGGGCAGAACGCTGCTGGTCCGGGTGCCGGGGGTGCCGAGTCCGCCGTTGTCTCCGCCGGAGCCAGTTACGGCTACGCCGCGATTCTGTCAGAGAGTAAGCAAGAGGGTGAGAGAGCGAGACACAGAGTGGGAGAGAGCGAGAGAGAGCGGTATATGCATAAGAGACAAGTTTTAAATGGACATCAGAAGGTTTGAAAACGAAATGAAATTAAAAACGGAAATGTGTGGGTTATAAATGCATTTGAAAAGGTAACACAACAAAAATAAAGTATAATGAATAAACAACAAATCGAAAGAGTCAAACAGCAAGAGAGAGACAGACAGAGAGAGAGAGAGGGAGAGGGAGAGGGAGACACGAGAGTAAGCAAAATGAATGCCAATGAGATACTGAGAAGCCTACAAAATGTTCTCTTCAACAACTTTTCAACTTTTTGACCTTTCAACTTTTCAACTTTTAAGACTAAAAAGCTTACGAACTAAAACATTTGATTACGTCTTCAAAATTGTTTTAAAGCTAGCACTTTTACACATAAAAGGCACTTATAATTAGTTTAGTTTAGTTTAGCGCAACTTTCTCTGTGATGGGGGGAGGGGGAGTGGAAAGGGGGGGGGGGTTTAGCTGCACAGGCCTCGGGCAGCAGGCAAAACGTTGCTCAATTTGCACAAAAATTTGCGTCTGGTTTCTAAAATTTGCATTAACAATTTCAATTAAGTGCAAACCAAACCAAGAAAACTTTTTTTTTTTTTTTTTTGGAAAACTTCATCTAAATAATACGAAAAGCTTTAAAACAATTTTGAGCAAATGCATGAATTTTGGCAAAAGCTAAGCAGCAAATTGTTTAGCTCTGATAAAAGCAAAAGTTAGCTCCGATAAAGTTCTGATTATAATGGCATATAGATAATACTTCCAAATATTATATATACCATCATGTACTCAGATATAAGTTCCAGAGATTTAAGATTTACTTTAAGTTCTTTTTAGAGTAATTAACAAAAAAATGATGTTGAAAAGAAGCATATATAAAAATATATTGGAAAATACTTTCTAGTCTTAACGAACTTTTCTTTTTTACTTTTAGCTCAGTTTCTACTTAATCCCCCAAATTCTAGCACTAACATTTCCCATGCTAAAACTTGAATATATGATACATCCGTGAGATAATGACGTTATTTACACGATAAGGTACACAAAAGCTTAAGTTTTAAGCCTGCCAAATTTAAAGCTAAATAGTTTTATTTTTTTTTTGTATTTTAGCATCTCATTAGCATTCGATACTTTTGTTCCTTTTTTATGGCATGGTAATATTATATACATATACGATAGTAGATTACCGTTATTTGACCGTCTACCCAATGCATATTATGATTATGTTATAAATCAAGCAATTAAATACCCATACAGCCCTATAAATGGTATATAAAATGACTCTTACATACAAAATTGTTGAATGTTATGTGAAGGTTATGTTTCCAATTAGAATCAATGGTGCGTTCTGATTAGAAAACAAATGCAAATGCAATAAAAATAAAAAAACATGCTGGGGAAGTTCAAAGCAAGGCAGAAAAACAAAAAATCAATGTTTATAAATAATAATTAAAACAGCAACATATGTTTAATTTGAAAACTGTTTTTCTGTCTAGTTTTTATGCGTAGTCTCTGTTATTTACGAGCTGTTAGTGCAATGTTATTAACAGTATGCGGCTGCTGCATGGGCAATGGCTGGTAAGAGAGCGAGCAACAGATAGATGTAGGGGGTGAGTTGTGAGACACAGACAAAGGTAGAGAGAGAGAGAGAGAGAGAGAGAGCGATGCGTATGTGTGTGCGTGTGTGTTTGTGTTGCGGTGAGTATCGGAATTCTAGCCAAATGGTAAATTTTATTTGCATTACGCTTGGTATTTTGTTGTTGTTGTTTTCTTGATTTGTTTTCAAGTAGTTTGGTTTGGTTTACGTTTCTGGCGCCAAGACAAAACACAATAATGAACGATATATTTGAATTGTTTTTCATCTGCTGTTGTTTTTTTTTTTAATGCGTGCGTGCTGAGAACGTTTACCTGCTGCTGCTGCTGCTGTTGTTGTTGTTGCTGCTGCTGCTGCTGCTGCTGCGCACGCGCCGCTGCATTGTGCAGCACAATGACAGACTCAGTCTTTTCGCGACGCGGACGCAGAAAATCTAAATTTGCCCAACTGGACTTGGTCGGCGCTGCGACGCCAGCTGCTGCTACGCCGCCTGCTGCTGCTGTTTTTGTAGTTGTCTTGCTGGCAGTGGACGTCGCTTTGGTCTTATTAGCAGTAGTAGTAGTAGTAGTAGCAGCAGCAGCAGCAGCTGCTGCGGCTGCGCTGCTCTCCTTGCTGCCGCTGCTACTGTTGTAAATGCTGTTCCTTTGGTACATGGCACTGGCGCGCTGCGCCTGCACTAGCTGCGGCGACTGCAGCTGAGCATTGTTGCCGCTGCTGCTGCTGGCAGAAGTGCCGCCGCCGCCGCTGAGCACTGCCGAGTGTCGCTTCGTTAACGGGAAAAAGTCGGAATTTTCGCGTCGAAAGCCGCGCACAAAGCTCGGCAACTTGGAGTCGGATTCCTGGCGCTTGTGCTGCGGCTGCGACGGCTGCGTCGGCTGCTGCGTTGAGTTGCTGCTGCTGCTGCGCTCTTTGGCAATGCTGACGCCAGTCGACGAACTGGCGCCTTTAAGCGGCTGAAAGCCTTTGGGCACGGGTCGTGCTATGGGCTCGGCGACGCTGGCGCGCTGCAGCTTCGCCTCCACCTTCAGCGTGCTCAGAAACGAGCTGCGACTGAGGCTGGCTGTGCTGCTACTGCCGCTGCCGCTGCTGCTGCTAGCGCCGCCGCTGCCGTTCACTTTCTTGGAAACGAATTTATCTAAGTCCCAATCGCGCAAAAGCTTCGCGTCTTCAGCTCGCTTTGGCGCATGCGATGTGGATGCCGATTTTTGTAAGCGATTTATGTTTTGTTCTAATTTCTGTTTACAGTTGTTGTAGAGATAGTTGTTGTTGTTGTTGTTGTTGTTGTAGTAGTTGTTGTTGTTGTGAGTAGTAGCGCAAGAGAAGAATTGTTGTTAGGCTTTTTGTTTGCTTGCATTTTACAGTTCTACAGGCTAAATTGTTGTTGTTTTTTTTTTTATACTTTATTTTGGCTATCTGCACCCAGGGTATGAAAAAAAAACCGCATGGAAAGTTTTTCATGAATTCTCTCATTGCATTGCATTCCAAATACACACATATGCACATACATGTATGTATGTATGCATGTGCGTCATATACTGATATGAGTTGGGCTATTTGTATTGGTGTTTGCTTGGTGGAGAGGGCGGAGTGAGGGGACGGGGTTGGGACGGTGGATAATGCACATTGTGGTGCAAAAGGTGTTTAAATATGTATATAAATAAAAGATCATAACATATCATATCAAGTGCGGTATGACATGAAACCAATCGGATGCACTTTCTTGCCTTGAATATATCTCTATATAAAATAAATATATATATAGTTATATATTACAATACATTTGTATGTATGCATGAAAGTAAGTATTTAGAGCTGGAAAACTATCTTGAAGCAGAAAAAGCGATTATAAGGAATTTAAGTCGATCGATATCGTAATGTAAATATTATCGATATATTTCACAATTATAATCGATAAATCGCAGATATACATACTTATCGATAAAAAACGAAGTACTATATTTCGTATATGGCAATATATTTATCGATAAATCAGTAATGCGATATATTATCGAAAATGCAGATATAGAACGATAAATTATCGATAAATGACCATTAATGCGATATATTATCGAAAATCTATCGACAATCTTGTATCGCTTCATGTGAATTTTCGATAGTCGATTTCGAATTAATAATAATTTATCGAAAAAAAACACAAAGCGATAAAAGTTCGTTTTAGATAAGATATCGATAACTTTTGTATCTTTTTTCATATAAAACTTTCAATATAATGTATATTTATTCTAATATGAGCTCTTTCTCTCATTTATAAAGCGCATATGTTGAATTTCTTATCGCGATTAGTTGTCCAGCTCTTTAAAATATGGATTGTGCCCGTGGAAACATTCTATGCACCAGTGCAGTTCACTTTATACACAATACTCAAAAGGAACATTCGAAATTCATATGAAAAAATTAAAGAAAAAATGAAAAAGAAATATATAAAATGCCACAGACAGGGGCTAAAATGATATATATAGTTGTGGAATACTCATAAAAACTTTGTACAAAAGAAATTCACGAAAAAAGTTTCATACCATGTGTGTTTTTTTTTTTTTAAGTAATATACTAATCAAAATAAATAAATATGTATTTAGTATTGTAATAAGTTTGTAGTTTTAAACTAAACTCAAAGGGACTCGTTTGTTCAAATCGGTTGGTTAAATGAGTTAAATTATAAATAGTTGCTGCAAAAAGTTGTCTAAATAGAACCACAACCATCCAAACTTTTGCTGTTGTTGTTTTTTAATTGAATATTATTAATATATATATATATATATAGGGTTTTATATAGTATTTGATTTCGTTCATAGACCTTGAACCCTATGAAAAAGCTAATTACAATTTGTACAGCTGCCTAAGAACCTGGAACTCTAAATTCTTCGCAACGTATCTCAGTAGAAACGGAAAATTGAACTAAAAACTAAACTAAAAGAAAACATACTAAAAGAAACTAGACAAGTTCTAGATAATTAGATTAAAGACTCGGATGATATATATATATAATATGTTGGATGGCAGCTACTTACGCGCTTCATGATCAGCGTACGATCTCCGGCCTGATCGTCGTCGTCCGGTGTCGGTGGCAAGGGTCGATTCGGGGGTCCGCCGCTGCCGTGGGTCAGCGGTGTGGTCGTTGTTGTTGTTGTGTCCTCGGAGACGGGTCCCAGGCCGGGCCTATATGAAAATTCGGGTCTGAACATAACCAAAACAAAAGAAGGAAACCCAAAAACAAAAAAAGAAAACACAAAACGCAAAAAAACGGGGCGGCAAATAATTGAACAGAATGTGAGGATGTGGAAAGTGAGGAAATGCGTATTTCGGGTTGGTTTTTTAATAACAAATAATTGGTGAGAGATAAAGTTAAGAATGTTGTGAATGGGTTGAAATTGCAAACAAGTTCTACAAAAGTATTGCTCAGCTCCCCGAATGGTTCCATTTTCATTTGGGGTACACATTTTATAATAGCCGAAATAAATCAATTCGTTGTGGTATTCGCTCGCTGGAATATCTCGAAAACAAGTCTATAGAACATTTACTGGTATCTCTCAAATACTTTTAAGTGTTGGATTCTTTCAATTAAAAATACTTGGAAACAGTGTTGGAAAACCTTAAGTTTTTCTTGCATAATTGTTCTTGTTTTTTATGGCAATCTTTTCATTATTTTTCTCATTTAAATGTTAAAATTCAACTCATTTGAAAAGCTATTTGAAAAAAACTATTTGGCAACAGTGTTGGAAAACTCGAAATTTTACTAAGCCACATTTTAGGTGTTTTCTAATGACACTCTTCCCATTTTTCTTTTACCCATTTTAAAGCTGAAAGTAAACTTAGTTGGAAAACTATTCTAAATACTTGAGAACAGTGTTGGAAACCACTAAAGTTGTTCATGTGTTGTAGAATTTAGCAAGTTTGTCAGAGTTGCCATAGAATCTAAAAATGGAATGTGCATTTATAGATGCTCACTTTGTAGCGGTCTTTAGAGTAATTTCTAGATGACTTGTAACTTATAAGATCTTTGAATTAACGAGTATATCGAATGGAATTTTCGAACCTATTAAGAAAGCTATGTTTAGTACTGCTAAAGATACTAAAAAAGCAACTATTCGACTTTTGTGCCTATTCTCAGAAGTTCTGTTAAGTATTTAAGGCTTAAATAGCTCAACGATGGGTCCATAAATAACTCCAGAAACACATTTGTGTTCTATTTAGAACCAAGTTGGAACAAATCCCAAAATAAAAATGTATCTATGAAGTATGTAACATGTGCTGTGCGCGATTTGCAATAAATATTTATGTGGAACATTTTGTTGCATTGCAAACTTTTGCCACGCCTTACGTTTTGTGCTTTGAAAGGGAGGCAGGGGCAGGGGCAGGGGCGTGTACTTACAGCGGCTTGGGCGGATCGCTGGCCAGAAGCGTGCCATCGTTGCGTGCCCGATCGTTGGGCTCATCCGGTTCGCTATCCGAGTCGCTGCTATCGAGCGGATCCAGCGGATTGACGGGCTGTCCCAAATGATTGTTCGCCTGCTGTGGCAATGCAGCCGCCGGCTTCGAAGCGGACGAGGATGAGGCCGAGACACAGATGGCCCCGTTGCCGGCGGATGCGCCCGATTGTCGATTGCTGCGCGGCGGCGCCTCCGGCTGTGCCTGTTGCTGCTGCTGCAATTGTCCAACGCCTGCTGCTGTCTGTGGCTGCGGCTGTTGGGAGGAGACCACGCCCAATTCATTTAATTGTGCTGCTAACACATCCAAATGATCCTACAGGTATTTGGTTTTTTTTTTCGTATTTTACAAAAGATTTCGGGTCAAGTTTTCGAATGCACACGGAGGATTTTTGTGTGTTGTGTTGTGTAGTGTGTGTGTGTGTGTTGGGTGTGTGTTGTGTGTGTTGCACGTGGTACCACAGTATGTTGTTGTTGTTGTTGTAGTTGTAGTTGTTGTTTCGGGGGGCAAATGCGTTTGTTTTTTTGGGGTGGAACGAAAAGTAAGAGAGCATTAGACTGGTTTACACCTTTCACTTCTTATATAGATAAACAAACAAACAGGGCCAAACATTAGAGAAAGCTCGGTTAGTTTTTTTATCTATGAAACTTGCCGGGGTTAGTCTTAAATATATATATATATAGATATATATCTATATATATTTAATTTTTTTTTGGCATTACAAACGCATCAATCAAAAGCAACTCTTCTATTTATAGAACTCGTTTTCTTTTTTGGTATTAGTTGCATTTGGAAATGGAAAGTGTTTTTTTCTTTCGGGTATTGTTTTACTGTGGATTAGTGGGCACGTGCAGGGGCGTAGGAAATGGGAGGGGGGGGGGGAATATGATAGTATTTTAGTGTTACGTAAGCGCTTTATAGTATTTGTGGCTTGTGTACCTCCAAAAAGTTGTAAATTTTGTTTCAGAATTTTGACAGGTCTTCCAAAAAAAAGAGGGGGTAGGGGGGTAGTTTACATATAGACATACATATATATGGTATATGGTAAAACAAGCATAAAATGCACAAGTCAAAGATAAACAAAGAGTGAAAGAGAGAGTGGGAGAGAGAGAAGGAGGAGCGAGCGAGCAGGCTACAACTGAAAAATACTGAAAATGATAAAACATACCTCAGGTCTCCTTGGTGGTAACTGTTTTATGATTGTCGTGTGTATTTAGTATTTATAGTATTTTTACGGTATTTTTTTTTGTTTTTGTGTGTTATTTTAATCAAAATTATACGTTATATTATATTTGACGCAACGGGTTGATGTACGCATAATACAGAGAGACACACACACACATGAGCGAAATCATAAGGTCGATATTATATATAGTTTATATAGATTATATATGTTATGGTAGGCGCACAAAACATGAAAATAAAAGAAGTTGAAAAATCATATCATAATTACAAATACAATACAATACGTTCGGGTTTTACAGGGGTAAATTATAAATGAGCTGAGCTGACTGAGCGGGGGGTTGAGGGGTGTTGGCATTTAGTTACTAACTAGCAGTAGCGCAAAGGGGGCGGGGGATTACAGGGGGCGGGGCCGGGTTACTATTAAATGGAGTAGCTATAACCTAACTATTGGAAAGGGGTTAAATATTAACTTCAACACGAAAATTGGATAACAATTGCGATTTGTACTGAAGATTTGTTGGGCCCAGATATTATTTAATCTAAACTTTCTGTTAAATATAGTGAACAAAATCTTGGCCCGGGTAAAGACGCTAATCTTCATACATTTCATGCTACTCCTGATCTTTCCATTTAATACTTGACCCGGGTAATGCCGGTTAACTTTAGCTAATCTTTCATTTTATTTCATGCTCCACCTGGCCTTTTCATTGAATATAATGAAAAAAATACTTGACCCGGGTAAAGACGGCGAATTCTTCTTATACCTTATAGACTTCTTGGTACTACTGACCCTTTGATACTTGGACCGGGCAATGCCGGTTAATAGTTGATAATCCCTATTAATTTCATGTCACTCCTGATCTTTCCATTGAATATTAGACCCATGTTAAGCCTGCAAAATATGTGCTGATCTTTTCATTTCATTCTACTCCTATCCATTTCGATTAACCGGGCAAAGCCGGTTAACATTTGCTAATCTTTATACACTGCATGCTACTCCCGACCTTTCCACTTCCGTTTGCCTAAGCAGATCTTAGCTTTAGCTTTTAATATCGCGGGCGGCCCTTTACTATTTCCTATCGGTAAAAGTCGTTGCCCTGGGAAATGCTGTGGATTTTCCCCACCCGTCTTATCTGTTGCTGGGTCGTAATCTCGGTCTATTGTGAATACGCACCGATGGCTTGAAATTGTTCTGCGAGCTGCGCTGCTGCTGTTGCTGTTGTGGCGGCGTTTGAGCCACGGGCTCGCCGCACTTGGGTGTCGGTGGCAATGGCCGATTGGCGTGCGGTGGATCTGGCACCACAATCAGACGCTGCGGCAATTGTGGCCGTGCCGGCGGACCCGGCTCCTCGATCTGCTGGCGCTGCAAAACGATGTTAAACACATTAGCCGAAAATAACTCCAATTGGAATCTGAGTGTGGATGGCACTAACCGATGGTGGTTTCTGTTGGCGATTGGCCTGCGGCTGTTGGGCCTGCGCCTGTTGCTGCTGCTGCTGTTGGGCCACCTGCGCCTGTTGGGCTGCATGGGCCGCGGCGGCGGCTGCGGCCGCTGCCTGCTGTTGCTGCTGATGCAGCTGGGCCTGGGCGGCGGCATGCGCGGCGGCGGCCTGTGCCTGCGCCTGGGCGAGCAGCTGATGGTGCTGCTGTTGCTGTTCGACGGCCAGGCGTCCCTCCTGGATTTGCTGGAAGTTGCGACGCAATGTATCGCCGCCGGGCGCCTGTATGATGGAGCTGGGCTCGCCGGCCAGCTGGGGCTCGTCGTCATCGTTGTCGGAGCCGGAATAGCGATAATCTTCGCGCTCCTTCTCCTGCTTGCGTTTCTTGCAGCGATCGATGTGATCCTTGAGCTGTATGCGCACCTGCCGATCCGTCGGCTGATCCTTAATGAATGCATGCTTCAGCAGATTCTCGGTGTAAGGCCGCTGGTGATAGTCCTTCACTGTTAGATTAAATGCATATGTTTAAATATTTACTTTCCATTATTTGTTATCATTTACCTAGCACCGTGTCAATGAAGCCGTGAAACTTCTTGGACCATTTCTTGGATTTGAGACGCGGCGGCGAATTGCGTGGTATTAAGAAAAGTGCACGCATCGGATGCAAATCGCAGAGCGGCGGCTGTGACTCAGCCATTTCCAGTGCCGTAATGCCCAGAGACCACAAATCCGAGCGATTGTCGTACGTGGCTTCGGGATTCTCATCACAGGCAATGACCTCTGGCGCCATCCAGTAGGGTGTACCTATAAGACACAAGTGGAACCAGTTAAGCGAAATGGCCATGAGTCACAATAACGTTTTGCCTTACCAATGAACGTGTTGCGTCTGCCTATCGTGCGATCCAGCTGCGCGGAGACACCAAAATCGACGAGCTTAACCTCGGCATTGTCGGTGAGCAGCACATTCTGGCCCTTGATGTCGCGATGGATGACTTTGTTCGAATGCAAATAGCTGAGGCCGCGCAAGATTTCACGGCAAATGTACGCGATCCATTCCTCCTTGAGGCTCTGACCCTTGGTCGACTTGACCAGATCGGTAACGGACCCAGCACCACAATATTCCATAACCAGCCAGAGTTGATCGTCCTTGCCGGGCGGCGATTTCTTAATGAATGCACCATAATAGGTGGCAATGTTGCGATGATTTGAGTATTTCTTAAGCACATTGATCTCCAGCTTTATTTCCTCCTCCTCGTCCTCGGTGACGTCCATCACCTTTATGGCAGCCAACTGACCAGTTTTTGTATGACGGCCCTGTGTCAACAGATAGATATTATATATTATATAAATAACACATTAGTTGCGAATTGTGAAATCATTTTTATATTCATTTTTATCAGTTTACAAGCCGAACTGGGGAAAATGCGACCTTGGCGCGTTCTCGCATAGACACTTGAACTCGACGCGCTGCAAACTTGACAACAACGCGAATTCGCGGCGACCATGGGCGAAGGCGTTGACGACAACGTCAATAAACTGCGTCACAAAATAATAATAAAATAACGTGCTGCGTGTAAATAACATTTAAATGCACTTTAAACAACACAACAGGAAGAGTTCTCCATATGCCTGACATTGGATACTTGTAAAGTATTTAATAATAATTCTGATATGCATTACTTTCTGCTCGTTGCAAGAGCTGAAGATTGATATCATATAAAATTCCAAGAAGCAGCGTCTAAAACTCAATGTATCTTAATTAAGGCAGCACCCAAATATCCCTGAATATTTATTAAAACAGTTTATAAGTTTCTAAGAAGCACAGACAAAAGATATCTTGAAAAACAAACAAGAAACTCATTTTACACCGATTGTTCCTATGCGAGCTATATGATATAGTGGTCCGATGTAGATAAGATTTTGCATTAATGTAGGGAGCATAGTGAAACTTATAAATGTCGGGTTTGGTTAAGATATCTGGAAAAACAAAAAAGTCTTTCATACAAGAACCTACTTTTCGACCGCTCGTTTCTATGGCAGCTATATGATATAGTGGTCCGATATTGATAGGATTTGGCATATATGTGAGTAGTATAGTAAAACTAATAAATGTCGAGTTTGGTCAAGATATCTGCAAAAACAAAAAAGTTTTTCATACAAGAACCTACTTTTCGACCGATTATTACTTAAACTTAAACATGACTTATTGATCCTAATGTGTAAATTTCCAAAGATTCTGCTAATCGAGACAAGTTTTTATAACAATTGACAGGCTCGTTAGGCTTTGGTTGAAATTGAAAAATAACGTGAGTTGAAAACTGTTTATGCTCGCAGGCAAGACGAGTCGCATCGCATCGCATCAGTCAGTCAATCAAGGCGTAAAAATGTATTTCAATTAGCTGTCGCTTTAATCAGAGTCATAAATTGATTTGCCGTTTAAGATTGAGTTGTCCTCCGACCGGTTTAAGTCCGCTTCGCTCTTGGCCAGAAGGAGCAGGAGTCTTTTTTTTTTTGCTGTTAAGAGGTTTAAAAGTCATTTTGCATTTAATACAGTTTTAATTGAAGAGCAGAGAGCTGCAGCCGAGATGCCCCATAATAAATCAAGCGACTAACGAGAGAGTTGATAACAATTTAACAGGCAAGAGAAGAAGAAGCAGGCGAGTTAGTTATGATGAGGATGAAAGGGAGTAGAAGATGAAGAGGCAGCTGAAGCTGTTGATAGTTGGTTTTTATTGATTAGCCAGCGGGGCGTTGCGTTAGCGTTCCATCAAAATGCCATTAAGCAACAAATTTTGCTCAGTTTTTCATCGCAGATTTTTCCCATATAAATATATGCTAACGGTCTGCCGGATCGCAGTGGAAAATCGTTGCAAATTAATGACATGCACTAATGGAGTTGGAAAACTGTCCAAGAGAAAATCGATTCGGTTATGGTGCTGTGCCGTGCCGTGCCGCAGCTAAGAGGCAGGTGCAACCAGTTTATGGCACATCGCGTATCCAGTTGCCGCCAATTGGCAAAAACTGGCCGCCAGCGAGAATTCAGTTGAATTTCAAGTACAGCGTTTGTCGCAATCGAAATGCCAGAATACGAAGAAAACAAATGATTTGTGAGTCAGTCGCAAATAGAGCTAAACAACAATCGAAACAAATAAATAAACAAAACAAATCGACGTCGAAAGCCTTTGCCTCGCACAGAAACTGCTGAATACGTCAAATAATTGAATATATGATGAAAACCAAAACCGAAATCAAAACCAAAACGAGTGTAAAATTGTTTTCAAAGGTAAAGTCAACAATGGATTCAAGACGTGCATCGCAGCTGTCCCATACGCCATTTGCCTACCTATGCAGAAGTTGTTTTTTTTTGTTTTCACTCTTCTCTCTCTTTTCTCATTTGACGTTTCAGTATTCAGTTTCAGTACAAGTATCTGCCAGATACACAATGCTCAATGCCCAGGGTGTCGAAAAAAGAAGAAGACGAAGAAGATATATACGAAAATCAACAAACACAATAAGCTTGATGAAAAATGCAATGGAGAGAAAAAAAAAAAACACGCACATTGCACATTTTCGTGTAAGCAGATACAGATACAGATACATTTGCAGGCGCAGCTACAGATACAGATACATTTGCAGGCGCAGCTACAGATACAGATACAAATACAGTTACGATCTATATATATATATATATTTATATATATATATATATATATATAAAACTGCATAATCAGACAATTACGTGTTGTCATAACGTGATTTTGTATGGCATTTGGCGGCTTCTACGAGCACTTCTTCTTCTGCCTCTCTCCATGAACAACTTCCTCCATGTAATTAAGTCTCTGAAATACTTTGTTGCCCCTCCCCTTCCCCCACCAGCACACGTCTTGTTCTGCAGCCTCGGGAATTTATGCAATAAGTCAACAAAGAAGTAATTGTTGCCGTACACAAAAAGAAAACAAAGCAAAACAGAACAAAACAAAACAATATAATATAAATATTTATGCATTGCTTTAAATACTTTTAAATAAATATAAACATATTTAAATGGTTTTTTTTTGTAAATAAAATTCAAGCTGTTTACATATGACAAAATATTAACTTCCAACATATTTACCTTAAATAAAGCAAATAAGGCTTAAAACAAAAATATTTAAAAAAAAATATTGATGAATTGTTTTAAACATCGGCTTAAAACTTATTTCCAAAGATGTTTTGTGCGAATTACATTTTATATGGGCTGAAAAGGTTATATTTATAACACTAAGTTTTTCTGCGGGAAACGCCGGGTATTATCTGCTTGAATTAAAATATGATTTGTATTCAAATCGAAATTATATTTTTTATATGCAACCTTTTTTTTTGTATAAACTCTTCCTGACAGTTATTCAGCACACCCCATTGGCAGCTAAATTACAGGGTATTTAGCAAACGCCGCTGACATTTACAAGCATTTGTTTTGCGTGTTCTGATAACGCGACCCTTGCACAAAAATATGAGAAAGACAGCAAAAATAAAAAGCAACAAGAAACTTGAAAATGCTCAGAACGACATTCCCCTCTGCACAAGTACACCCCCTCACAACCCTACCCCCCTCTCTCCCCTGTAATTCTTGGAATTACCCGACTTACGTCACATAGTAAAATGACTAAAATGATTAACTCGAACATATTCGAGTTGAAGTTAACTTTGAGAGAGAGAGCGAGCGGGGGGGGGGGGGGGGGGGGGGGGGGGGGGGGGGACAGCTGGCTAAAAGCAAGAAGAAGAAGCAGCAGGAAAAAGTGAGGAAATGTGTGTTTCCGATAAGCAAAGTGAATTTTGTGTGAATTGAGTAAATAGAATATGGAAATGGAATTCAATTGGAAAGGGGGAAAAGGAGGCGGGTCAAAGGGTGAAATATAATAAAAATATCAAGAAAATAAAGTTAGGTAGATGGATAGATAAGTAGATAGATGATAGAGAGACGAATAGATAGATAGATGGAGAGATAGATAGATGAATGTATAGATAGATAGATAGATAAATAGATAGATAGGTAGATAGATAGGTAGATAGATAGATAGATAGACAGATAGATAGATAGATAGGTAGACAGAAAGCTAGATAGATGGATGGATGGATGGATGGATAGATAGATAGATAGATAGATAAACAGACTGAAAGATCGATGGATGGATGGACAGATAGATATACATATAGATAGATGGATGTATAGATAGATGGATAGAAACATGGATAGATAGTTAGTTAGATAGATAGGACTGCGACAAGCGATATATAGATAGTTATTTAGGGCTGCGATAAGCGATAGATAAGGTGTTAGAGAAAGAGGCACAAGTAAAAAAACGATACCCAGGGGAAACACTTTTGATAAAGACGAGAAAGTTTTATGGTTGGCATATAAATATTTGTCATCAAAAGATTTTATGGAGTATCATTTAAATAATTGCCCGTTTACAATATGAATGATAAAACTGATAAAGCAATGAATAACACATTTTGAAGCTGTCAACATTTAAAGTCAATATTTAAATATGAATATGAAATGGGAAAACTTTTGGTAACATTCTAAAGACAAAGACGACGCCGCATTCACATGCAGATCTTATATGATCCATCTATATATAGATATATATATAATATGCGGAGATGATTTTCATGTGTATCTGAATGTATGTTGGGTTAACAATGCGTGTTGGGTAACTGAGAAGGCAGCTGCCGGCATTAGATCAAAGCAGCAACCACAGTGGAATACTCCACTTCACTTCACGCCACACACACACTCGCACACTCGCACACACGCACACCTCAGACTGAAAACTGAGCGCCAGCAACTGCAGCACTTTGCCCATTGAGCTTGCATATTAAATTTGCGGCGCTGGCAACAACAATGCACCTCTATATATATGTATATAGAAAACTTGGAACTGCAGCAGCAAACCGTTGGGAAAACCACAATTCAATTTACAGCACTTGCTGAGGTATAAGTGGTGGTAGCATCCCCCCCGCCCCTCTAACACAACCTGAAACCACGCGCCACGCCCCGTGCGATGCGTCAAGTGGTTGCCTCTGCTCGATTGGTTGCTGCCGCTGCAATTGCTTGGCCCACTGGCCCAGAGACGACTTTGCTGGCAATCTGTGGCAGCTGCTGCGTTAGCCAACATTGCGCAAGCTTTTAACGAAGCACCCCTCACACCTGAACCCACCTCTCTGCCCGCTCAACTCAACAATCGTGTGCAATCGTTGCTGTGGCTCCAAATTCCAAACAAATAAGAACTCAAGTCAAGTGGGGCATGCACGACTATCAAATTCCCTGC